GGTTGTAATACCACTCGTCTCCCGTGTATCACTGCTCAATATCCCGTTATTCCACCTCAGCTCCTCGGTGTTTCCACAGCGGAGCAGCGCAGCCCCGACAGGTGCAGCAGCGCCTCAGGGCCACCTCGCTAACACTATTGTTAGCTCAGCTAGCTACGTTAGCAGAGGCAGAGCACGAAACCCATTGTGGCCGCTAGCTCAGATTTTCTTGTTCTTTGTCTGTATACGGCTTCTTTGCTAACAGTCCGTCAGACGCTGGTGGACTCTGCCACAAACCGAGTCACTTTTATCCCACATTCACACTTATTGTTCAGAATTGGACGTTTATAGCCGAGGTGCGTATTGACAGATAAAATGAGAATTGACAGACGAATGGTCCGAGTTTTGCCTTATATAGCAAGCTAGCGCTCACATGTGCGTGTGCTGCATTCATGGCCCCACCCTGAATTTGGTGCAAAGACCATTTTGTTTGGTGTCGTATTATAGCGGATCTGGAATCTGTTTCCATTCACCGCCGTTCACGATGTGATCATTTTTCCAATGCGTCCACTCGGATGAAGAATATATTTGACAGATTTGTCCCCGTTATGTAATCTCTGTTTCGCAGTGTTGGATCCGTTAGCTCAAGCTATCGGGCCGCTGTCTGTGGATCGCTGTGGTCGGTGCTGCGCATCTTTATTTTCCAAATAGCGCATTTAATTTGCTGACCAGTTAATAAACACCGTATGTTCGCCACGCCATTAGATGACTAATCTGTACTGAGATGGAACAATTACCGGATGCCTCCATTCATTCACACGCATGTATGCCGGAAATGGGGAAATATGCGGTATTGTTTGGTCTTACTACGCACAAAATTTAAAATTTCACATTAATTTGGTTTTAGTTTTTCTTGCAGCCACCTGTCTGTTCCGTCTTTGCTGAGTCTGCAAATAAAAAAATCTGACATCAACTAAATCTGCCTGGTGCACCCCTTCCCCTTTTCAAACCTTTTGAAGGGTTTAGAGAGATCTCATAACCTCAGGGCCCATGAGATAATACCTTTGGAGGCCTGTAATCTTAAATGTTCCTGTGTGTAAAGGAATCCAAGACGAGATTTGTACTGAGTCACTTGAACCTTGACTTGTGTAAAGAAAAGTATCCGTGGTTCAGATTAGATAAGATGAGATCTTAGTCACCATGGTAATATCAACCCGGGTGCTACAACAAGAAATAAACTGAAATCTAAACAACAGGGCCAAGTAACGCAGAGGAAGGAGGAGGTGGAAAGACCACAACTATATCGAGTGATATATCTAATAAATGTGAACCATGTCTGTATAAAAATAAATTAGAAATTCAAAGAGATTTTCATTTCTCAATTTTGCATTGGAGGCTGTAGTGAGACAAAGGGCTCATGTGATGACTAGTATGCTAAGAGTATAGCTAGCAAACTGCGAATAATTTGGTAAATGCTTTAGCTGCAAGAATTTTTGAAACTTATCTCAGTGCATATTTTATTGACTAAGGGATTAAGGAAGTGACTAAGGTTGTTTTCAGGTTAATTATTACTCTAAGATACGCTGCTATCATACAGGCCTCTTACGCCCTGAGCAAACATGCAGTGCCAGCCCCTGCTGCTTTGCAGTTGGGTTCCTTTTCCATCTTTCCTGTCCCAGTATTTCCTTTTCATTGTCTTTTTCTTTCCATCACACTGACACGTCGCTGGTAGGTGGTTGTTTTCGTCCAGCTTTTCCTGAGACATGCATTTCCCTGCGACAGAGGGCCTTAAACAGAGTCAGAAGATCTGACTGAGTTCATGGAGCAGCTGGGACTCTGTGATGTGACTCTATTTCAACAGAAGCCCCATTGTCTGACTGAAAACTGCACTGAAACACTTAGTTCCTGACTACACCCTCATCCACATGGTCATATATATGGTGGTGATTCATGGGCTCCCCCTGTACTTGCAGAGACATCTTACGTAAGGTTTTATACCTGCTGGTCCTGCCACAGTCCCAGATTCATAGTGGACTTTGAACAGCCAGTACTGGCCACATATATTATTCCTGCCTTCAGTATTCTCATTTGCTGGCAGTTTAGATTGCAGTTGTTTAGCTCTTCCACCATCATGGCTAACAGCATGTCATGGCCACACCTTTAAGTTTCAGTCCCCCTTATCAGTCCTCCTCATAAGAAGCATCCCTCATGTGTGACAGTCACATGCCGCCCTCTCAGGCCCTTCTCTCAGTTTTCATATCTGTATTCACTGTCGTCACTTCTGCCACGTTTAACACCATGACAACTGCTGTCATGTTTGCACACAACCATCACTGTGGAGTAGAACTGTAACTGTTTGTCTTTTTCTATATAATAGTGATTTTTTTTTTTTTTTTTTAATATGCTTTGGTCCATAAATGGAAAATAACTAAATAATATATTTAAAGTGCTTGTTTTCTCCAACAATTAAACCCACTTATTTAGTTTATCATAGATGACTAAGAATAGCAACAACTTGTCAAAATGGATGAAATTTGACCAACAACTATTGATATTTAAATTTATTGAAGAAATTGACCAGGCGTTAAGACACTGCTCAAAGATGTAGCAATGCATTTTCTACTTCAGTAGATATTTTATGCCCTCCAAATATATTCATTTGCTTATTAGGGGTTTTGTTGGTTGTATACAATTTTTTAAACATTTTTTTTCAGTAATGGCAGCTGCCACATTAAACTGTAAACTCTGAGTCAACATCTTGTTCTCTTCGCAGGCCTCTGGTGTGAAAGTCACGGATGATGTTATTGCAGTCTTTAATGATATGAAGGTGCGCAAAGCTCAGGCAAATGAGGAAGAGAAGAGGAAGAGGAAGAAGGCCATTTTGTTCTGCCTGAGCAAGGACCTCAAGAGCATTGTTATTGATGATGAACAAGAGATCCTGCAGGGGGACGTGGGAACAAAAATCCAGGACCCGTATACGCACTTTGTGGGCATGCTGCCCACAAACGACTGCCGCTACGCCCTGTATGATGCGTCCTTTGAGACCAAAGAAACAAAGAAGGAGGACCTGGTCTTTATCTTCTGGTAAGGCGCACCTTTGGCAGATATTAGGGATTTGTGATCTTCATTAAGACAATAAGTTAAAACATTTTTTCCCTCTTTCACAGGGCTCCAGACAGCGCCCCCTTGAAGAGCAAGATGATCTATGCCAGCTCAAAAGATGCTATCAAAAGGAAATTTGAAGGTGAGTCAGAATATGTACTGTAGTATTAACAGAGAATTGATGTAAAGATAAACCCCACCCAACCTTTACCTGAACTTAAAGCAGCACTTACCAATATTCCGCTCAGCACTGGGTTGAATGTGGAATTGCTCTTAGTGACAATGCCACAGAAAATTAAGACCTGACTTAGAACCTTTTTATAAAAAAAAAATAAAATTTGAATTCTTTTACTCCCCACCATCAACTGGTTCAGTCTTACCGCTCTCACAGTGACTCAAAAGCTCACTTTAGATGTTCTGTCTGCTGCTTGAACAGGTTGAGTTCTAGCTAAATATTCTGATTTCAGAAATTCTGAGCTAAATGGAGAGAGATTGTTTGACTTGTATTTTTCTGCTGGTCAGAGACATGATTACTTAGTAACATTATAGTTGCTTCATGTTTGCTGGATGTGTAAACGGGCAATTATTTTAATCAACCTTTTTAAATGCACGATTATAACATTTTGCTTAAGAGGACATCACATGACCCCCGATAAAGCCCAGTCTGCTTTGATTGGCCAGTTGGCTTATTCTGTTATGATTGGTCAACCACTTGTGTAGGAAATGTTGATCTCCTCTCTCGCTTTACCTAGCTACCCACTCGGTGTGTATGATGCATATGTGGGGCATCACGATGTCACATGACGCCATGATGATGCAGAACTATTGTCCGAGCTGACGACGCGCTTCGGGAGCTAAATTTACCATGAACTGTTGGCGTTTTAACTTTGCAGAAATGTTACATGCACAACAACCTATAACACAGTAGAGGAAGGAAACTGAAAAAGCATCATGTGTCTCCTCTAAAAGTCCTCTGCTAAGCATTTCTCTAGGCCTATTGAAATGTAACCATGTTTAATACAGGTCTTAGAATCTTACCACAACACAGTAGATCCAGTTTGGTTCCTCTGGGTTTTTAGTTTTGCTTTGTTCTTGAAAGGATTATCATACAAAAGCCTACAAGCCCTTATTTTCTACAGCAATGTAAAATGACATGTATATATCTTTTGGGGGGAGGAAATTTGATGTGTAATTCTGACTTCTGTCTCCCCCTCCAGGTATTAAGCACGAGTGGCAGGTGAACGGCTTGGAAGACCTCAAAGACCGGCACACTCTGGCAGAAAAGCTGGGCGGTTCGTCAGTAGTCAGTCTGGAAGGATTACCTATATAAATATTACCACCCCTCCTCCTTTCTGGCTTCAATCGAGGCCTTTCAGACATCTGTTGAGTTTAGCTGTTCATTCCAGTGTGGTTAGGAAAAGGGCAAAAGCAGAATTGGCACCATTTGTGGGACTGTTCTTGGGGTGGGATATTGAGGGTGGGTCTCGGGTCATGTGACAGTTAAAAAAATAAAAATAAAATAAATAAGTAAGCAAAGAGACTGTCATTGCAATTCAAGAAACATAAAGGATATGAACAAAACACACACAAATGAAAAACATTAAGATACAACTGAGGAAGGATGTTGATGATAAATACACATTATTCATGCTTAAGGACAGAGTTTCATTCTTCCTGGGTTCCATTAGCAAAATCGCAGAGAAAGGGGCAAGCGTCAAACTTAAGTTTTCCAAACATTGGATCCTGACAAATATTCATTCAACTACATTTTTTGCCAAACTTCTAGTTAAGTGTGAGTAGTTGAGACTAGGTATAGTATGAACTAATTCACCCTTGATTGCACAAGTTGTATCAAAACCTTCTCTGGAGGAACACGGTTAATTATATTTTCTCTTGTGTGTGTTTTTTTTTTTTTTTTTTTTTGTTACTCCATCGTTTTTGTTTTGTTTTTCACTTTTTGATCAGGCAAATTCCAAAACTTCAGCAATTCCTTTTTATTTTCCAGTTCTGGGTCAGAAATTCATGGCATTTGATGTAGTTAACATACAACATTCCTTGTTCGTGTTCAAACCAGGATCTCCTTGATTTAAAAACTTTGGTGTTATGAAGGTTTGATGAGGAGCGATGTGTATATGAAGGACCAGCAGTCAGAGTTTAACCTGATTATTGAATGGTGGATGTTTTGTATCGTCTCCTTATCTCTAATAAAAAGCACTAAACTACGGACTTGTTCTGCTTTTTATGTTTTAAACCTTTATCAAATCTGAACTTGTTTCAATGCTTGGTGATGTTACACATAAGATTAGTTTCCGCTTTTAGTAGCATCATAGTTACTTTGACGTAATCATTGTATAGTCTTACATTTTAAAAACGATGCTGAGATCCCATAGCATAAAAGATTTAATGTCAGAGAAGCTGCTCGTCCAATGAAGTTGCTACAACATATTTGTTAGGTTCAGTATCAAATATTTAATTGATCTTTAAATCAAAATAAAATTATTTAAAATGTTTACAAAGCTGAAACATGAGTTTTATTTTATCCAACTACCAACCTGATGCCCAAAGATGGTCTGTGTGCTCTCAAACCTGTTCATTTGTAGCCAGGTTCTTTTTCTGTTTCAAGATTAAACGTTGCAGAATAAATTCCCATCGATTTGATAATCAATCCAGCTCCAAATTTAATTGAAACCAAGTTGAGGCATATTTTTCGTGTCCAGGTCTAATGACGCTACAGTACCTTTTCTTACCACTAGAGGACAACCCAACACCACTCATGAAACTAGACAAAGACACAGACAACTATAGATCTCTGTTTATTAAAATATATCAAGCATTTTCTCAAAAATAAAATTAACTCTTTGTCTCTCCAGTTCACATCGAGAAGAGCAAATGGCTGAAATATTAGGCATCAGTGGTTTCAATAAAGTTGTCAGTTCTATAGCTGTGTATCAGAATGCAGAGTTACACCAAACCATTTCCCCCAATAAAGTACAGCAAGGATGAAAACAGAGACATGTCCTCAGTAGATTTTCATCATCCACAGTAGGAAAATAACGTGCTGTTACTAAAAGACACTGCACACGCTGTGTTTTTTCCCTCTCTTACAAAAAGTGGCTTATGTCAATACTGTGGAAACACTGACTCTGGGCACATGTTAAAAGATGCCGCTGTGATGATCTCATAGGCACATTTGTCTAATAGGCCCAGAAATTACAGGGAGTAAATTAAACACAGGAGAGAAAAACTTCAATGAAGGGAAAGACGATTCAGAAGTTACAGCGTGGATCTGCTGCATTGGTGCATCACTGGAGGATGATGTAAGGATTTAATCCTGTTTTCTTTCTGACAGTTCACCTAGTAGGTCAAAGTCACTTTGTGCTTTCTTGTGTTTTTCATGGTTTACTTTCAAAACCACCAACTTCTTAGTCCTGGACGCAGTCCAGTCGGTTCCCGTGTACCCAGTAACAGATTTGGGCAAACTTTAGAGGAGTGATGCGCACGGCCACATTGTAATCCCGGTTCTCCCCGTCTATCTCGAGCCACTGGTGTCCAGAGAAAATGCCGATCACCTTCCTTTCCCAGCGCTCTAGGCTGTTGTCCCAAACTCTTCCATACACTCCAGAGCCACTTGCTCCAGGTCGGGCGTCGCAGTGCTGGTATATCAAGTCACTGGACTCTTCTTCCACAGGACAAAATCTGTACACCAGCTCCCCGGGTCTGTCGCTGTCGAAGCCAGAGAAGTGGATGCGATTCCCTGCCAGGTCATCAGAGGAGGGGGCCACAGAGAGGCGCATGAAGGGACGTCTGTGAGGCCAGCGCAGCTCCAGCAGGGCGTAATCAAAGTCCATGCTGACCTCCTGAGGGCCCTGGATCCAGCCCTTTGGCACACGGGTGCGTTTCACTCTCACCCAGCGGACCAGAGGCTTCTTGCCAGAAGTGAGGTCGGCTTTTGTGCCATTGATAGACGGTGGGATCAGGAAGCCCACCCTCAGCTTCCTCGCCCCTTTCACATAATCCTTCCCATCATGCACGCAGTGGGCCGCTGTGAGTATGTGCTGCTGAGACACAAGAACGCCGGTGCAGCCTGTGGAGATCCTCACGGCTGTGGAGAAAGGGTAATCCAACAAGAAGTTGTCCCCCTGAATGTTAAAGCGACCATCGGCCCCATAGATCTGCCGCCTCACACGCTTGTGCCTGGGCTTCAGTCTGGATCCTCTGCTAGGTGAGGGGTGGGCAAAGAGTTGAGCATCATCCTCAAGATCATCCTTGTCCTCCACATCCACAGTCGTGAGCGTGCGGGAGCCGTCAGCGTACAGGGTCTCGAACGCCAGTTTGTCAGACAGCTGCTCGTCCTGCTCTCCTCTGTGGAGGCAGCTGGAGTTGCAGTGAGTGGTAAAGTCCAGCTGAGCCTGAGAGCTGAAGCGAGAGCGGGTGAGCGGCGTCGGCCTGTGAGGGACCAGCATGGGGACGTGGACCGGCGGGGGGTGAGGAGGTTGCAGGAGGGACAGGGTTAGAGGGAGGAGGAGATGGAGGAGCAGGAGCAGGTGAGTGAGGCAGGAGCTCTCGCGTGGCGTCATCATGGCGATGGGAAACACTGCAAAGACAGAAATAATCACACACATGAGAGAGGCAGCTGATTAATGAATGAATGAGTTTACACAGATTCCTGCATGTTTTCCCACAAATCAACAAAAACACACAAACTCAAATCTCTCTCGAAGCTGAACTCACTGCGCCTACGCAAGTGAGGTCAGCTTGAAAATCTAATGTCGAAATGCAGCGCTGAGTTTCATGTGGTGCGTTGAGGCAACAATGAACTTCTTGTTCTGATAATATAGATTACCAGGAAAATAGGATGTCAGGCAGAAGGAAACAAACAAGCATTTTAATTTCTGTTTGGTACAAAAAGTCCCAGGAAAGCTTCAATCAAAGAGGAAGAACGTGCCAAAGCTGAAAATCTGGAATGAAAACAAATGAAGTTTGTGATTAGTTGATACAGCATTTTTTAAAATCAGGATTATTTCCTGGACGTGATTTACAGGACAGACATTCTGTAGTATAACACAACGAATACGTGAACAAGAGCTTACAATAAAAATACGATCAAATATTTCTCACAGCTCAAATGTGAGATGTTGATTTCCATCAAACATTAACTACTTCACAGTGTGTGTGGGGCTTTGGGGGCAGATTGGCCGGGACAAAGAGATACTCGATCCCCCTACTAAATGCTGCGGACCTGGAGGCACTCATGGCACGAAGAGAGCAGGTGTGTAAAAAGTGGGGAGAAAAAAAGAAAACAAGTCAAGGCACGGCCGCAAAACAGAGCATTAAAGCATTATTGCTGACAAAAGACAGGGTGGGGCCTGTCCACACCTCTGTGCTTTAAAACACGACAAAAGAGGCATGGTTACAATGAGGATCTCCTGTGAGCAGGGAAAGTACAAATTTCCTTCAGTGTTGAACACATGACAGCTCTGACACAGCAGCTAGAGGAGCTCAAGTGGAAAATTGGCTGGTGCAGAAGAAAGAAACGTATTTAAAATAATACAAGTGACGTGTTTCTGAACAAAATATCAACTGCTTGGTGGCTGTGGCAAGACAGACGAGACAATCTAAGTGATTATAGGATGTTGAGCCATGAAATCACTGTGTTTTCAGATCTTGTTCAAGCAGTGAAATTCATTATTTGACTTTTTAGATAACATTTTCAGGCTCTAAATCATAAACCGCAGCTGTCCCTCAGGGGTAAAGAGGCTCCTTCTGATGAAAACCACAGGGAAATGATCCAGGAGACGTGGATGAAGGGCCTGTGGCACTGGGAAATGACTTTGAGAAGAAGAAATATGAGGGGAAAAATGTTTTAAAAATGATTAAAGTAGAAAAGAGGGAAGCTATAAAATGACAATTGTATTAGTGCAGAACTAATACAAGCAGGTATATTACTGAAGTAGAGGAATCTGTTCAGCATTGTAATGTGATTTAATCATCATCTCATGGATGCAGCAGAGTCAAATAAAGGTCAGCTCCCTCTGATATAATGTCATAAAACTTACATGCACACATTCAGATGCCTGAGGGGATGTTAAAGAGCAGAGACTGTAAGGAATCATGCAACATTTGATTATTGACCATCATTTCATCCACACATCTGGACTGAATGATCAGAGTACTTGTGGCTGTAGAAATAATCATGTGTGTATGTATACAAGTTATTAGTGTCACAGTGGTGGTGTGTCTCAGACATGATTTGAAGGATCCCAGTAAATCAGAGCAGGGTAACAGGGATCTCTGCTGGGATGTTTACAGTTCCAACTATTTAAAACACATTACCTCCTGGTCACAGGTTGATGGTCCGTGTTTACATCCCCGTCAGGTTTCACTCCCCATCAGACGCGTCCTTCAGGATCCCTTCCCAGGTTTTCCTCATCCTCTCCGGTGGCAGGCAGGTATTCTGTCCGTCCGTCTTCTGGTCCGGAAACTGAAAGTCTTTCTCGCTCTTTTATAAAAGCTAAAGATGTCGGATAATGTCCGGACACGTCCCGTGTGACCCGCTCAGCTCAGACACAGAGCAACAAATAAAGGTCTCCGGGCCGAGAGAAGAGTTTCCTCCCGGTCCCACGTCCCGGCGCCCCGCCTCCGCCCCTCCCTGCCCGCCGAGAGGCGACTCTGTCCGGCCAGCAGCTCCAGAGAGCTAACCCCTCAGGTACAGCTTACTCCCGCATGCTTCATATCATGTAATAATAGACAGACATAATCAGATTAATGTCGTAACACGATGAGATTTATTTATGCAAAGTCATTCCTGTGTATAAACAAGCAGAGCTAATTTGACACTAAGCTAAGTGTAGCTAATTAAGCTAATATTTGCTCATTAGTAGCAAACATAAGAAGTAAAGCTGTGGCTCTTGGGAATGTTATTAGTTTAATCATTTGGTCAGAATCTTTAATGATAACAAAAAAACAGCATGTTTAGCAACATGTAGCATTTTCATATTGTATATTTATGTTGTGTGTTGGTACGCTAACATAAGCTAATCAGCACTGAAGACAGTACAGCTGAGGCTAATGAGCTAGTTAGCAAACTAACTACCCCCAGATGACTTTGTGTTCACTGTGTTCTGGAGAAGAAGTCATGAATGTCCCCCTGTGGTGTTCACAACTTTACACCTCTGAATTTTCAGAAATGTCGAGAGTTGGGCGTTATATTTACAACATTACATACCTGCTGCTATTCTCATGACATCTCTCTTCCAACATCGAGAACACAAGCTCACAAGCTCCATTTCTGGGCAGCAAAAGCAAAGTGGGGGGAACCTCATTAGTATTGCATTCAAAACTGCGGACATGCAAACATGCTTGTAAAAACAACAATACTAACATGTGTACCTGTTGTGTGTTCACTAGAAAACTTAGTTTAGCATGTTAGCATGTTGAAATAGTTCTAAATACAGCAAATGTCAATAATCACTTGGTCAAAATGAACATACTAACATAAACACTTCAGGGTTTTACTGTGTGTGAAGTCTGAGTCTGGACCAAAGAGGTTGACTGAGCAACTGACAAGACGGTGGTCAGTACAGCTATGACAGCAGCCTGGCTGAAAACATAAACATTGCATTGATCCAATTCTCTGTCTAACAATCTAACCAGCAATCGTGTTCACTAGAGAGTTTTATTACACCAAAGAAATGTTGGTTAAAAAAAAGTCTTCAGACAATCTGTAAATTCAAGGCTGTAGGGAAACTGTTGTTTTGTAAAGAAAAGTATCGTACAGATGCATGTTAAAGGCATTATACTGTCATACTGTGCAAAGTTGAGCTCTGTGATGGAATAAAGATTTAACATCCATCACAGTGAATCAACATAGATGATGCTTTTCCATTCTTGATAGTATTTACATTTATCATATCAGGCATTTGGCACCTGTGTGCAATGATGCCTAAGATTATCCAGGCAAGAAAAGTCTAGTCTCTGGTATAAGAACATGCCAATTATCATGCGTGCCAAGAGTTATAAAAGATACAAGTAAAGGCCAACTACTAGCAGGCAGGCAGAGGACTGTTGGGGCTTGTTGGCTGAAGCATTCATCTCCTCTGCTGCTGTCTGACCTTGATCTCCGAGAGGTCTTTCATCTCTCTGTGAACCTGTGGAATTTGGGAAGCTGTGCACCAACGCTCCCATGGGGTTTGTGGCAGTTGCAGGGGTGGCGAAACAGAGCTCCCAGTCACAGTGATAGTGATTTCAGGAATGCTGAGGAATCTCCCAACAAGAACACAGGTCAGGCTGTCAGCACAGTGTGACTGCTGATGTCCTCAAATGTCACCCCAAAGGAAATACCTACCCCCTTACCTGCCCCTCATCCCTGTTATGAAATAGTCACTGCTACTGTTCCTGCAGAATGGACAGTACAATGTTGACAGATTGAGTGTGGAATATGCTCCCAGAACATAGAAGGAAATGTGGATGGGAATGAAGGTAGCAGGCACAAAGCCAGAGAGGTGTAAATGTATAACTCTGTTAGCATGCTGTGTGTGATGATTGTAGCACTGTCTGTCTCTTTTAGTCTGAGCACAAGACATTCTTTGTGTTTATGTTTGGCACTAAGCAACTTGGATCCTGTTTCTCTGGATTCATCTCTTTCCGTTCTCTTTTTGTTCTTCCTCACAGAAAGTTCTTCTCAAGTTATTTTCCAGTAGGACAGAATATATTGATACTGGTAGTTCAACAATTTGGAAACATATTTATTTCCTTTCCTGACAAGAGCTGGATGAAGTTGGATTACTGCACAGTAAAATGTACCAAGTCCCAGTAAACTAGAACAGGGGGAAATGTGTATTATATTTCACCTGGTATAACTGGATTGGTAGAACTGAAGGTAATGGTAGATCTATACTTTAATTGAAAACTAGTATGTGTGATGTAAATGACTTGGGAAAACGAGAATGTATCACTTCTATTGTGTATCCTGGGAGATACAAATCATAACAGCCACTATTTACCTTGGTACAATTGAGACAAGTCTTAGCAATTCATTATTTTCTACCAGTTGTTCAGTTCCAGAGTCACAAAGTGCTGGAGCCTAGGTACAAGCTCCCAGCATGCTTTTCGTGGTGGAAAAGAGTAAATGAACGCTGACAGTCTTCTAGTCCACCACAGGGTTAACACAGTCCACACTTACGACTTTAGATTCACTTTACTTTGCATGTCTTTGGCATTTAAGAGGGCAAGCAAGTGACCGCAGGGACAACATGTCAACTCCAGATGAGACAAAATTCCACGACCCCATGACACTGACACACTGCTGCCCCTGTTTGATGGTGTCATTTTTCCCACTGCTAACTGAGGTCCACGTCACAAAGTGTGCTCATTTATACATGGACACCAGGTGGGACAGTTATTTTATTGGCCACCCTTTGGCTGTTTAGCATCTGGTCAGTGGAGCAGGCCTTCTGCTCATTGAACAGGCCAGATGTGGACATGTGCACTGCAACAGTGATTTATTAGTGACGTATTTATCAGCCAACTAGAAAACATGCAACAAGACTTAGATGTCATTGCATTAATATTTCAAGGTTCAAGGTAAATGAAGAAGTAAAAATAACTCTTCAAGGTGAAGTACTCAAAACTATACACTTGTCAGAAATAATTTTATGGAAAGAAGAATGTTGGTAGGAACAACAGTAAATACCACATCACATGATAACCTTGGGAATACACTGAGCGAATCTGAGCTGTTTGACAGAGATGTGTATTCTTCCTGGTTCTGTTTCTTGAACGTTCAGGTCCTGAAGGTCAGTAACCTTCCTGCTCAGACCCAACCCCCCAATCCTCGATGGTCTCAGTCAGTTCCTCTGACCCATACTCACACCCTCATTCTTTCCAAGATGATTCATTTAAGAAAACTAGAAAAGTGCCACAAAGTCCCTCTTTCCCCCCTTATGCTGTCATGTTCATTAACATCTGACCATTTTTCAGGGAAGGGAAGTATTAGTCTGTCACAGTGAAGGCCGAGAGTAGAAAACAGATGAAGGAGCCTGAAATAAAAGCCATCAGGTTATTGGCCATCTGTGTCACTTGTGTCTGACCTTTTAATGCAGCGTTTGAGCAGGATTCCTTATATAATATATGACATTACTGGTAGCTGGCTGAGCTGTGCAGCCTGGAGGAAAGCAGTGTGGAGGATTCCAGATGAGTGAGTTCACGCTGGGTATGTGTGAGCAGGCATACCTTAAATTTCCATGGAAATGGTGCCACTGAGCACAAGTCAAAGCCTGTATGAGTTCTATATTGTACAAACAGAATCTATGCCTTATATATTTTTCTTCAAGTGTATATTAGATTGAGTTAAATGCATTTTTATCTCAAGATGGTGAGCTATAACATAGTCCTGTCTGCCCAATAGAGTGAACTGATAGATCGAGACTTGTTTGAGCTGACATGAAAGGGATCTGTTATTTGGATCACAAGCCTTTCTCCACAATCTTTTATTCCGAGCCTTGAAATAGTAGAATGAACCTTTCTGAACCGTCCTGTAGCTCTTGACCCGCTGTCGGCAGGACCCTCTCGTCACTTAGGAACCGCAGAAACTGGAGCCTTTTCAGAGTGATGTTCTTTAAAGAGTGACTCTTTGGACACAAAGAATGTCGCCTTTCTCCTCTCCAGCTTGTGCCTCTTTGTTTTATGTCCCCTTTTTTCTATCTTGATAGATTTATTGCTTCTTCACCCCGTCCCTTTCATCAAAGCCTTCCTGTCCCATCTGCCTCTTCTCATTATCAGGTCCAAACAGAGCTGATATTTTCCACATTTCAGCCCATATGTTGTTGCATCATTTGACAAAGAGCTTCATCTGTGACAGGAACTACCTTTTCAGAAGTTAGATTTTCCCCTCTGGAAAAATATTCCATCCTCCTGTGCAGCAGATATTCCTCATGCCGTGGCTCCCTGGTTCTCCTGCAGGGCCTTGTGGGTACGTATTCAGCCCGACTTCCCCTCGGCATGATGTCATTTTAGTTTGGCTGTAAGAGAAAAAGAAAAAAAGAAAACACAGTTAGCAAAAACAGAAGTAAGGAATGCAAACTGACTGAGTGCGATGAAATCCATCAGGAGAAGTGGGAGAGTGTGGCTCCTTCTGTCTGGGCAGAGTGAAGTGTAGGAAAAAGTCTGATGCTGAGATAAGAAATAATCCCAAATAGCTTCTGGCCTCCGATAACAACCTTAAAACATCTCTCTTGAAGGATATATGGAGATGAGAAGGGCATCTGTTTGCTTCATCAAGTCATTCAAGAGGAGTGATGGTCCCAAAGGGCAAAATAAAAGCTGGCATATAACCTCCTATTATTTGAACCAGATAACTATGACGTTTCACTCTGGTGTTTATTTTGAGTTGAGTTGCTGTGAAATTAACAAAAGCAAATAAAATGTAATGTCTTCAATTACTTATAAAAAAAACCCACTTTCCACACAACCTCCCAGTTTGATGAAAACGTCAAAATACTTGATAGAAAGTCAACAACGATAGGCACCAGAGCATGTCTGTAATATCTGGGTAATGGCTGGTTAAGTGATACCAGAGAAGAGAAATTGTTGAGGGAATGTTAGAAATG